CACTAGCTAGCGGCAGATGGCTATAAAAAACTAAAATAAACAAGAGAGACTCAGATGTTGAAGAAGATCTTCCCGTGAGTTTCTTTTGTCCAATTTGTCAGTGTTGTGTTCAACTACAGGAACAGGTTTTACACTAAATATGTAGATTTTTGATGGAGTTTGAAACTAAAATATTGTTATATTTCATTGCATTTTTCTGGCCTGTGGTTGGCGGAGCGACCTGAGATTTTTCTAATGTAGTTTATTACAACGTTGGGAAACACTATGCTAGAGACTGAACCAGTAACGATCTTCATGCTAACCACTTTTTTTGTGATGCAGGGCATTTTATCCTAGGTTCAGATTTGTAAAACTTTGCATGATTAGATGCAAAGTCCGAGTATATTGGAAGCCTGTAGTTGATTGACTTTTGTTGAAATGGTTCACAGCACGGAGGACTGTCAAACAGTCCAAAAGAGATACTGTTATCAAAGTTTAGACAGTGCTGTCTGTTCGCTGTGCTACCCCTGCAAATGCTTTGACCCCAAATACCTCCTCAGGTACAGATGTTTGTCTTGGGCTGTCTCATCAGCACTGAGTAAGATGTTGAAATAATAATTCACAGTGTTGTGAGTGATGCTGCTGAGAGGGGAGAAGTGCGGGGGAGGGGGGGGGGATCTCTGCTCACTGTATCTTTAAAGTCGTGCGGAGGGGAGCCAGGACTTAAGACGGGAGGAGGGGGGGGGGTGTGGGGGGGAGTTTGCTGTGCGCCAGTTGGAGGTGTCTGCCTGTCGCAGCGGCTCCGGGTTGACATTAAGAAGAGGAGCGCGTCCATGCTTCAGCGGGGAGATACAGCGCGTTCTTACCGTATCGGCGCTCACACTCCAGCGGTACCAGAGAGATCGCGGTCACATCGAACATACATGGATGGACAGAGGAAGGCTACATTCCGAATGAACTTGTCAGCCGGTGCGAGGAATTTCTGGATATAATGGGGAATACGACACCTAAGCCCTTGATAGGTGAGAGTTGTCATTGCTTTATCATTCCCGGAGATGGCACACGGGCGCGCACACGCAGCAGTGCACGTGTGAAACATGCATTTTAGCGAACATATGTGAATATGTTCGTCCTACATTTCTCCGCGCTGGCTGCTGCGCATAGACGCGCTTTCCATCAGCGGGGGAGGCGAGCGTGATTCCTAGGGAGCGAGTCCAAGGGAGAGCGCTCCTCCAGAGCATCAGCCGCGTTTCTCTGCAAGACCCACAGATTTACTGGTGCCGATTAATAACCGTCTTATTTAGAAAAACGCAAAACAATAGAGATGCCGTTGATTTGATCTGGTGAAAAACAATGCTGCCGCTGACAGTCCGTCAGTCTGACCCTCTGTGAACGTGATCGGATCAGTGATTGGATCAACGTGGAAACTTTTAAGTCCGATGAATCCCTGCTAGTTAATAACAAATGGCTAATCATTTTCTCATCTGCTGAGTGTCACCATGTGTGGAGCCGCGTTTTGTTATCTCCACAAAACATCATTCCTGGTCCACCCACTTAATTATTTATTTATTTATTTTTTAAAACAAATCTGGCTTTTATTACAGATTTGCCTGTTTTGTGTCATATTAATAGACAGTGTGGGTTGTTTCTTACAGATGGTTATAATGTGAAAACCAGACTAAACATGAGTCACAAGAGAGAAGCAAAACATTAGCATCGAGGATGAATATCTTCAATAAAAGCTGAGCTGACAAAATATATATAATTTTTTTTAAATGGCACTAAACTTAATTATCATATATTTGTGCAAATGTAAAACTGTCTGTCATGTTTATCAGAAATTTGCTTTTAATTTGATCGTCATCGATCGTCACATATTTCAGCCGTGGCTTTGACTCAGTGTTTGTGCCATGCAGTATATTTGTCCAGCACTTGAGCAGATCCACTCAGCTGCTAAATGATGTGGTCACAGCCACCAGAGCAAGCTGACATGAGGTTTGGACTAAAAAGAGTCACAAAGCGGAGCAGCCGCAACCTGGGTCCTACTGCTCATACTGCACATGCTTTCCATGAATTCAGTTCAAAATACACAATATTCAGTGGCAGATGAAAACGCAAACATCCTGGTAAAACTAAAACAGACATTTGGAAATTTGGTAGCAATCCTCCAAAACATCCAAAAAATATATTTCTATCATTGTGTTTCTATCAATTTTACATCCCCAAAAACACTTTTAATCGGTTTTTACCCGTGTGTCCTTTGCTGTGTAATGATTGTACTTATATGTAATGTTTAACAAACATCACAGAACAGAAGACGGTTTTTGTTTTTCCACCGTCTGCTTCCCTGGAGCAGCCTGTACCATGTGAGCCCTGAATAGGCTGTGTGTGAAATTTGAATTTCAACACCAGCACCCGCCTCCAAGTCGTAGAAGAACTCTTCACCAAAACCACCATTTTTGATCATCTGTTCGAGGGGCCAATGGCTGCGGGGCCTCGGAGGACGCTGTTCATTTGTCCAGTCCATTCCAGCTTCAGGGTTTAGTTGTAATTAACGTGAAAATGCTATATATTTTTTTTTTATTTTTTCGAATTACGTCGACTTCTTTCTCTATTTTTTAATTCTTATGTTCATTGCTGGAAATTGCCCCCCTGGTGGTTTAGTTGGTGAAGTTATTTGTATGTGCGTCTTTCATCAGTGGTCTTGACGTTTCCTGCAACACGGACTTGTATTGTGATATTTCCACGAACCAGGTTCAGGAGTGTGTGTGTGTGTGTGTGTGAGGGGAAGTCATGTGATGCACACAAAAAAACCCAACAAACAACATAAAACAAGTGTCTCATATATAATAATAAATTATGTAGTCATTAAATATTTAATTGAAATATATTAATAATTCATCATTTTAAGTTGTAAATTTGTATTTATGTTAATGGTCCATTAATTTAGTAACTTTAAATTAGTAAAAATTAGTAACTGAGAGCACTGCATGATAAACTGTGACTGTGGACAAATTTGTAACTGAGAGCTTACCACTGCATGATAAACTGTGACTGTGGACGTAAGTGAACATTTTTCAAAATAAAGCACCCTACAGTCTTTTTTGGGCTGTCTCTGCGGCTCGGTACCAAGGCATCCATGGTCCACTAGTGGCCCCTGACCCATTGATTGGAGACGACATGACTTACATTACTAATTTGCTGCTACGCCATAAGTAAAAGCTCAATTGTGATAAATTAAAATGTCTTTGAAACTTCAGCGTAAAACGTATTTCCTGTCAGCATCAGTGTTTGTCACAGAGCAGGGTGACCAATGGCTGCTGTGAAATCCGACTCCCTCACAGCGTCGTCTATTGTTCATTACCTGTCATCCAGTCGTGGTAAAGTTCTACATTACTCCTCGCTGTAGGTTTTTGAGTGCAAACTCACAGGACGTCATTGTGTGAGGGGGCCTGAGGCCCGGTGATCCAGCTCCACACATGATCTCGTGGAGTGTATTTTGCCTCAGGAGTCGAATTCTCCCGGCAGAAAGCGAAGTGGCACCCACGCATCATGTGAGACGTTACAGATGTTCCCGGCGAGGCTTTAGAGTTGAGAATGTAATCAAACATAAAGTCTAATTTAGGAAATGTGCTGTACAACATTTCCCCTGAGTTATTGTATTTACAACACTTCGTCCTGAATTTTAAACAGAAATTTAATCACCCTGTGGCCCTGCGGCGGGGCGGAAACACAGCCTGCCCTCGGAGATGGGACTTGAGCCAGCCTATACCATAAACACCACTCATTTTATTCAGTATCAAACCCAAACACTTGTGCACTCATCAAAGTCACTGTGTCGTTTGATTTCTGATCCCTGCTGATTCATTCTTGCCACGCTGGTCGAGACATTCCTTCCCCCACAACTAAGACAAACTCCCGTAAAGATCAAAGATTAGGGTTGTATTTGGGCATCTCCTCGCTGAAGAGGCTCTCTGTGATTCATGCTGCACTTTTATAGATAAGTGTGCAGGAATGAAAAGGGTTATTCAGGGTTTTGTTTATGCTGTAGGCCAAGGGTGTGTTTAGCCCATAAATAAGATGGAAACTTATTGCCTCTCTTGTCAACTTCCTGTTCGCTTCCTCTATTTCTTCTGCGACGCAGCTAATTTTGACGTTTCTTTACAAAACCTCACAGCTTTTTTTGGTGATTTCCTCTGAATTTATTTTGGTTTATTTTCTTGACGGTTGACGGCTCATTTGGGGCAGTTTCTCTTCATTACTTTGGGTTCTAACCTCCTCACCTGGGTTAGTCCATTTTTTGACCTTCTTGAAGAGCAGAGAGAGGCTGCATATTGTCATTGTGGGAAAGGAAGTGTGTGAGACTGTCCTCTTTTACATCATCATTCCATGCGTCAGCAGCTGGAGGCGACGGAGAAAGAAATGATTGTGTGACTGAATTCACTTCTTTATCTAATAACTGACATAAATTACATCTGGAGTTCAGATTCCCCCCCCCCCAGAGTCCCACATAATAATGCCAAAAAAAAAAAAATTATATCACAGATGATTTGCTGAAGTGGACAGTGATTGGTTTAAAAATATCGGTGCTCTGTTGTTTAACACATCAGACTGTGAATCAATAGTTTAATGAGACATCTGTGTAAAGTTTATTAGATCAGTCCAGAGAACATTTGAATTTTTAAGTGTTTACTTTTAATAGTGTTTCTTATTTGTTTATTGAGAGCTTCTGCTGAATTTTCATAAAATCATCACCATGCCCCCCCTCCCCCCCCCCCCAACACTAATGTACAACACTGATACATCAGTGGTAATAATCAGTTCTGTTTAAATAACACATTTCAGGTTCTTTAAAACACCAAAGAATAAAATGACAGCTGAATGTAATGTTTTAATTGTAATATTTCAATTATCTATAATATTTACGTTTTGTTGTTGTCCCTCCTTTTTGTTCTCTTTTGTTGAAAGGACTGAAGTATTAATGAGGTTCTCTTTTTTTTTTTTTTTTTTTTTTTTTAAAGATGCAACTCTGCAACCCCCCCCGGGGCACCGCCAGTACTACACCCTGCCGAGCAATGGTGCCGGTGTGGAGAGGAGAACTTCTGCTCCTCCAGTCAGCGTCAGTGTGGAGTCACCTCGCTTCCACCCCCACGCCAAAGGCAAAAACATCCGTCTGGATGGGCAGCTCCGTCGCGCCACCCGCAAAAACAGTTTTTGCAACGGCATCACATTCAGCCACCGGCCTGTGCACCTCTATGAGAAGGTTTGTTTTGATTTGGTGTGTTGTTAGAATTAAAAAAATAAAATAAAATAAAAAATATTATTGCTGATATTACTTCTGTTGTCTCAGGTTCGTCTTCGTCTGACCGGAGTGCACACTGGCTGGAGTGGAGCTCTGCGCTTCGGCTTCACCAGCCTGGACCCCAGTGAACTGTTGGCCACCGACATCCCCAAGTACGCCTGTCCGGACCTGGTGACTCGGCCGGGCTACTGGGCCAAAGCTCTACCGGAGAGACTGGCGTTGAAGGACAACGTCCTGTCGTTCTGGGCCGATCGTCACGGCAGAGTTTTCTACAGCATCAATGAGGGGGAGCCCATCCTCTTCCACTGTGGGCTCAGCATCGGCTGCCCCCTGTGGGCCATCATAGACATCTACGGCATCACTCAGGAGGTCACACTTCTGGGTAACTATTTTATTGTGGCCTTAAACGTACTCTGTGATAATACTAATATGAGATTATTTATTTATCTGATGATCTGATTTCTTGATGTTTATTGAATTTTACAACTACACCCAGTTCCAGGTTCCCCCTGATACCTGATACAAACCTAGTATGAGTATTTTTCTTTTGTGTACTTGCTGATAATGAGTATTGGGTGTCAGTTAATATGCAATGAACTGGGAGACAGTGTTTTAGGGCTGGAACAGCCCTGTGAGTAATAGGGTGAGGTGCAGTGTGGGTGTGTGAGCTCGACCCAAACCCCAGTGAGGACAGAACAACACTTACTGCTGGTCTTTATTTTTATTCTCGTTAACAGAAGGTTATTTCAACTCAGTTGGAAAAAAAAATCGGTGTTAAACAAAAACAATTTATGGGTGATATTGTTAACGATACTGATACTGTTATCAATACCACTGTGTTAGTAGTACATTTTGGCGTCCATGTTGGTGCATCTCTACTAACTACTTGCACAGTACACCGTCTATAGTAACACATAGCAAAAATATTTCACAGTTTTTGACAAAGTTAAAATCTAAACTCTAAACACAAGTGCTAAATGCTGCACTGATCTGAGGAAGTTTCTCTCTCCTCTCTCCCTCCCCCCTTCTCTCAGTCGTTACACCTCCGTGTCCCTGCGTCTCCTTTAACACTCCTGCCTTTCCCACACTTTATCTCCTTTCTCCTTCTAAGTCTCCTTCACTTCCATCAGCTGTGCTCCTGTAGTCTGCTCCTCTCGTCCCTGGACGTGTTTATCTCCGGTCTGACAGGAGCTATGTCCATGTTTGGTCAAGACAGCAGATCCTAGAAGCTTTGGTGCACAGGGTGTGATGGGCTCAGGGGGTACAGTGTACTCAAATGCTCCTGCCGTGCCAGATTTGTTTACATCAGCCGGAAATTTATCTCCGTGAACTGGCACTGTCAAGGTGTTTGTGTATGACTTCATTAGTCTAATCTTAGAGTGTGAGGGAGGGGAAATAGGACAGAAAATAAAGTGCCGAATGTCAAATAAACTGTCACCCAACGCCAGTGATTTGTTCCCAAAACTGTCACAACAAACAGCACGGTATGACTGATGTGTCAGGGCTACAATACTTCACTCCGCGGCATCTGAGGTAAAACCCTGACGCCATTTTGAAGAAAAGTTGCAACTAATTTTTGATGTATCTGAACATTTATGTTTTTGCTGTCAGTAAAAAAACAGAAACTACCTGGAGATAAATTGGAATTAACAAAATCTGGACTGCACACCGGCCAGTCATGTTACTGTCACCAATAGGTACCAGGCAAGGTTTTAGTTCAGACTAAGTCCTGGTATAGCCCTGCTAAAAAAAAACCATACCATGGTTCTCACTTGTCCTGGGAACCCTGTAAAATGAATAACATGTATAGCACAGGGATTGAGTGTTTCCAGGATTCGGCGCCGCGCGTGACGCTACCAGACCATCAAGTTCGCTCATCACCTCAGAGCAGCTCTTCAGTTTCCAGTTTCAATTCGATTTTTTTTTTTAGAATAATTTAGAATGGTTGATGCAGGAAACTGATTATCATCATTCAGAACTAAGTATTTAAGCTTCTTCTCACTCCTTTTGATATGTAATGTTGTCAATTTTTTGCCCTGTGCTTTTCTTTTTTTAGAAGCATGATTTATCCTTTACACCCACAACACAGTTGTATTATATGTTTAATTGTTTGTTGTTTTTCTAATTCCGAAAAAAAAGTTCTAAGTTCAGTTGGAATAGATGAATTAAACTGAGCTTCTCTTCGTTTGTGCGTCATCTCCTCCACAGAGAGCACCTTTGCCGAGAGCGTGGGCTCCAGCTGCCTGAGCGCGGCCCGTCTCAGCGCTTACCTGCCGCAGAGCAACCATGACTCGGCCAACTACAACAACAACCAGCTGGAGAACAACCAGACGGCCGCCGCCAAAATGGCCAACCTGCAGCTGAACAACTACACACACATCATCCCCTGCTGCTCCTCCACGTCGTCCACCTCCACACCCTCCTCATCAACCACCAATGGATTCAGCATCCCCCGGGGGGCTCGGGGCCCCCCTTCCACCCTGGACAATGATTTGCACTTTCACCCGGTCCGCGGGGCTGATGTCATACTCTCTGCCGACCGCTTGGCCGCTTGCATCCACTTTCTGGACAGCAGTCGGACTCTGGTTTTCAGCGACCGACCCCTGCAGGTGGGAGAGACGCTGTACGTGGAGGTGGGCCACCTGGGCTTGCCCTACTTTGGGGCACTCTTGTTTGGTCTGACGTCCTGTGATCCGGCCAATCTCCACGCTGGGGACCTGCCGGCAGACCCTGAGGTTCTGCTGGACCGTAAAGAGTACTGGGTGGTGCACAGGGACTTCCCCATGCCTTGTTCTGGAGACGTGCTCAGCTTCAGTCTCCTGTCCAGTGGAGAGGTTCACCATGGTGTGAACGGAGTGGGACGCGGCCGGCTGCTCTGTGTGGACTCCTCACAGGTCCTGTGGACCTTTTTCACCTTACATGGAGCCGTCAACAGACTCAGGATTCTGGGTAAGAGCGAGTTTCCAGCGGTGCGGTGGTGAAAGTCCAAAACAAATGATGTATTTGTTTATTTTGTTTTTTCCCCCAAAGAATGTCCTACAATTTTATTGGCGTCATTTCTCACATTATTTTTGTGTGTATAAATTAGTATCAAAGATATATAAAGTGAACGTTACCGCACACTAAGAACGGCCGGGTTACCAGAAAGTGAGCAGAGCTTTTACACCAATGGAACATTTCAAATGAAAACATTGTCAGTTAAACTGTTTCGTACTATATCAATTTTTTAATAAACAAACATCAAGACAGATATGTTAGTTTCAGCAAAACTCCGTCCACACTGTTGTTAAAAAGACATTAGAAAATATTTTATTAGCAAATTCAGTGCTAAGACAATTATACTAAGGGTATTAAATTACCCATATTGCAACAGAACAAATACTACAGTAAGCCTTCAGCCCTGATAATAAAATACCTCCAAACTGCTGATATCGTTGACCCATTACAGAATATAGGAAAAATAGAACGGGAAATACAACACTACTAGGGCAAAGTTGTTTGTGATTTGACGCTTTGAATTAGGTATCACGCCAGAAACATTCTCTGTGACACCAATTTGAACTGGCATGCCTCCAGTTTTAAGTCCCATCCTTAAACCACAAGGTCCCAGGGTCGAGACAAAAATTCAAAGTCTGGCAAAAAATTCCAAAAAATGATCAAGGCTTGATTCCAGGAAGCCTCTCATATTTATATTTTTCCAGACTGAGGGGAAGCAGGAGGATTGTTTTGGTCGTCATGATCCTCAGCAGCTTGGAGCCGTGACCTCTGAGTCCTCCTCCCGTTACTCCCACATGCACTCCCATCAGCCCTCATCCTTTTTTCCCACTAGTTTTAAATTCTCAGACACTGCGAACACAAACTCATCCCCTGAGAGTTGAAGTGGTAGAAACGTGTCGTTTGTATCTAATCGGTCTGATTCCAGTGATCTGTGTTACGTCTTCCAGCGCTCACATTGTTTGAATGCTATTGTGAAAGATTACCATTGAGTCGTCTCAGGGTTTGTTTTTTTTTAATGTTTTTATTATTATCTTGCCGCAGGAACTCTGCAGTCCAGTCCTCCCCCCAACTCACCCAGCACATCTCAGAGCAGCAGCCCAGAGGACAGTGACTCAGACCTGGCGTTCAGTGTCAACCGATCCTCCTCTGCATCCGAGTCCTCGCTGGGTATGATCCTGAGAAAACTGCACAGTCAGCACATGTATCCACACAGTTAGTGTGAAAAATCTTGATGGAACCGGAGCAGCAGAGTTTTACTGTCAGGTGTCACCTACTTCAGTGGTTCTCAAACTTTTTATACTCTGTACCACCTGAGAAAACCTTGAGCTCTCTGAGTACCACCATGATGACCAACATTAGGATATAACAGCATAGGCCTTCCCTGTTAGCTTCCACCGCATAATAAGATGTTTATGTTTAAATGTAGTATTAATTGTGCATGGAATGTTTCAGATTTATTCAATTGAAAATGTAAATAATATGATATATGAAATATGAATTTTTCCTGCGTACCACTATAAGAGCGCTCGCGTACCACTGGTGGTACACGTACCACAGTTTGAGAACCACTGACCTACTTGCTGGTCTCACCTGAAAGCTTATGATGTTGCTCTCGACCTTTTTGACCCCAGATTCTCATCTAATCTTCAGACAGACAATCATCAGCCTTAAAGGGCTGGCTTAAAGGGCTCAGGCTTAAATTTATAGGAATACATTTGTTGTCTTCAGAAAGACAATCATCAGCCATGATCTGAGCTCCAAAGAGTAGATAAAAGTCACATTAAGATCATATTGTCCACTGGTTTACTCTCTGGGCTTAAATTTATAGGAATACATTTGTTTAAATTATAGAAGGCAACATATTTTTCTTAATGGTAACCAGAATTTATTTCATTAAAGTACAGACGCTTTACCGAAAGAAATGTGTCATGGACCAATTAAACGCTTTCATGTCTAGTCGATGACGTATGTGATCTAAATCGTGAACTTCTTTAGAAACAGTTTAAAAACATGTGACTAACTCCCACTCTCTCTCTCCCTCTTTCTCCATCTGTTTCTCATGCAGTCACTGCTCCCAGTTCCCCCCTAAGCCCACCGAACTCTCCCGGTCTCTCTGCTCCTGAGCTGCCCCCTGCTGGTAAAAATGGAGAATGCACCATTTGCTTTGACCAGGAGGTGGACACTGTTATCTACACCTGCGGACACATGTGTCTGTGCAACGACTGCGGGCTGAAGCTGAAGCGACAGATCAATGCATGCTGTCCGATATGCAGGAGACCCATTAAAGATGTGATCAAGACGTATCGACCGTGAAGGGTCTGGGGGTTTTTTTCGGACGCCTCTGGTGTTTCTTTCTCAGGCTTTGTTGACCACAGAGTTGATCCTTGATCTGAAGATTAGCGACACCAGGATATAACTGTGCCCGTGTGAAATACACACGAAGGATATTCCTGTCTGGAGATTGACTCGTTCTCTTCATACACACAACTGTGGTAAAGCACACGAGCCTCTATATTTTAACTGAGGACGAAGAGACGACTCACGTGCTACTGTTTTGTATTTTCCATCTGGTGTTGACTCCTCTGTTATATATCCCTGCAGAGCAGAAAGCTCTGCTGTGAACACCCCCGACCCCCACCATGACCCTCCCCCTCTTAATCCTAGCTATATAAATATATATATATGTTTGTTTCCAGCAGAATATGCGACATGTAGTCTTTGACTTCTAGTGCCTTAGATGTGTCACATTGTGTGTCGGAGTAATTATGCTAACGATCCTAGCCATATTTCACTGTAGACCACTGAAGAGCCGGAGGTGAAAACGACAGCATTTATGCAATAAAAGGTTGTTTGGCTAAGTGGAGAGATGAAGCTAAATGTCAGTGTGTTGTGGGGGGAACTGTAGGAGAAGTGTGTTGGAAATGTTTGAATAAAAAAAAAAAGAATCTGTTTTTTGCACATGGAGAGATTGGTAAAGTTTTGTTTTTTAAATTAGTCTTTGGTTCAGAATGTTTTTTTTTTTTTACCAATCAGTTGACAGCATATTCAAACAGTAATGGTCTGGGACTGCTTCAGTAAATAAGTGTGAAATTTGAATGTGAGTGTGAACGATTTTTATGTTATGTTATGTGGCCCCATGATGGCCAGGTGTAACCCCACCCTCCTCCCCCCGGGTGCCTGACTATGCGCAGCCCAGACTGTAGATCAGATTTGAACTGTTTAACATATTATAAGCATTTATTTGGGTTTGAAACATTGTCCTGGGTTCTCCTGTATGTAATATTAATCTTTTTTTTATGAAATGTCATTTACAGGTCATCATTGTTTACAGTTTCCAATAAGTTGATTTTTCTTTAAAATTGTACAGAATAAGATATGGCCACTAGGGGGTAGAAAGTCTAGTATTGTTTGATATGTCATTTTACACTTTTCATTTACAGATATTCGCTTACTTTACGGTGGAGTTTTTATTAATTGTAAAACAAATATGTTGGAAGTTACTTTATATAACAAATCAGTTTATCTCTATTTATTCCTCCCTTCTATTTTAGCAGTGTCTCCGTACAAACAACAACCTACTGTCTGGCTGTGAGGGCGTCTCTAAAGGCAACGATGATAAAGATAACTAACAGACGCTGTCTCAGGAGCATTGGACATAATCGGTGCCGGTTGAAATGCAGTCACTTATTTTTAGTTTGTTATCACATAGCCACAAAGATGTTAAGTCAAAAACAAATTTGAAAAAAGAAAAACCCCATCAAAACAGAAAGTTTATACTATCGATAAACAACAGATGACACTGTTTCCTTTGAAAAAGATTAACACTCCAACCCTGTGGTTACAGGATCGAGCTTGTGATCACATGGTTGCCGGTTTGAATCCTTCTCCTGGATGCTGTGAGTGTTAAACAAGCATCAAAACACTTTCTGGATGGATTAAAATCAGAGGAAAGTTTTTCAGCAACTTGTTCAATGACAATGAAGCAACTATTTAATGAAAAAAGACAACAATGGAAATGATTCAGTTTAAGGTCAACAGTAGAATGTCACAATTTCTAATGATAATCAATTTCCATCTATTTCTTTACACTATTGCATTGAATCGTACGTAAATATACCATTACCTCTGACTATTTTTTTTTTCCTGTTTTCCTTACAGAAATCACATGATCATGATTGGCTCATCACAGGATTTAGAATTTTCCAAGTCGGAGGTAAGTCGTCAAAACATTTTGGCAACAGACCAAGAGTCAAAAGCGTTAAATGTGTCTGAGATAAATTTGTGAATTGATGGCAGTTATATCAAATTGACCAAAGGTCATCTGTAGCAACATCGTGATCTGCAGTTTTTAAAAGTTCCTGCATTGATTTAATAACCTGGTCTAAACCTCAGAACTTTTGTTAGAAAAGAAAGAGACCATGTCTCAATTTCTTTATTATTCATAATCAGATTCCATTTCTTCCCTGCAGGTGGTGCTATATACTTATCTGAGTATCACATGAACTAGTTTAGCACCCTGATTCAACATTAATGTAATCCTCAATCCAAACACGCCTCAGTTTGCATGGCTAAGGCTAATGCTAAAGCTATGATGCTGAACTTTTCAGGATTAGCATTTTGTATAATTCCCCGTGGGGGTTTGTAGCTTGAACAGTTGGCGGTCTGTTGGGTTGATTTAACGTCCTGATAGTAGATAGCTGATAGTTTTATGGATGAGGAGGAAATCTGAGGTTTTTTGTTTTTTTTTTATATAATTTCTTGTGATCATTGTGGGTTTTTGAAAACACATGGTATCATTGTTGTTTGTATTAATCATTTGGGGCAGTGGTTCCTAGAAATTTTACGACGGGTACTAACTAATACTAGCGGTTTGGGCAGTAATTAGAAAAAGTCTTTTATTTTTCAATTTATATTTTTACAACAACAAAGTCCCTACAAGTATGGCTGGACCATTGGAACTTTACTACCTTTGAGCACATATGTCTTATACAGTACATCCTAGCCTGCTGGTCTGAAACCTGTGGCTCCTGGGCCACACTTGGCTTTTTTAAAGTCCCTACAAGTATGGCTGGACCATAAACAAGAACTGATCAAGAATATAATAATACACAACTGAGTGACAGTCCCCTTTATATTTATATAATCAAAATACTTTGCTTTCTACAGAAAAAAAAAAAGATTTCCTGAGCAAAACTAGAGAAAGCCCAAGTGCCTCCACTGGTACACGCACCATAGTTTAGTTTTGGGTAATGTGGGATGGTTTGCACCTGACTCTAGATCTTGTGGGCAATCCTCACAGTTGGTCACTCTGAGTTACTGCGACAAACCCACTAATCATCTCGTTTCATGAATGGGTTCAAGGCCCCGAGAAAATTACCCGTCTGTGGTTTTGATCCTGCCCCAGGGGTGGTCTGTGTTGTATGTGTTCAGATGTGAGACAGCTCCTCACCTTTGGCCTTTCATCTGCACGAGGACCTTCAGTGCGAGGAGCTGGGACAGATACAAGGTCCTCAATCACAACAACATGACCTAGAGGGCTTCAATATGAGTCACATAAAATGGACAGAGTGGGTGGAAACACAAAACCCTCTCCTCCTGACCGTCTCCTCACAGCTGTAAGTCGAACGGACCGAAGCAGTGGTGGATCAAAAAAACATTTCCCTGATGTTAAAGGTTACTCCGCAGCTATTTCTACTTCCCAGTCAGATATAAATCCATCAGCCCCGGGTGTATCATCTTATTGGAGACTAATTCCCATCTCTAAGCCCATGTGTCCCATGAGATTTGGCTGTCATACTACATGTCCTTCACAGCCATGTTGTGAAGCCAACCCTAAAGCGGTTTTGGTGTTGGACTTTGCTACGGCTAAATGTGGCGCATAAAGCTATAGAGTCTATACCGTTTTCCCCAGGGAACTCCAGGCTTTAAAGCCTAGACCTTTCTGGTCCCCACAGTTGCTACCGCACATTGTCCAGTGGAGCTGTCAACTCGTCAGTTGCCTCTGCAGGTCCGCAGTGCGGTGGGAGCTGCACATGCCTTCTCCAGGATTTAGATGCTAATGTGGAAAACACGGGGAGTTAAAAAAAAAAAAAGCTCACAACAAAGATCTCAGGACTGGATCAGTCGTGTCTTTGACTAAGACTCTGATCAAACCAAACAGACGTTGTTATACTTTTCAAGGCGCCCAGGACTCTACGAATAATAAAACTGTACAAGCATAAGTACGTGTGTTTTATATAAGGCTGTTAAAATGACTTTATTTAATTAGCATTTATTAATCAGTTTTAAAATTTTAAGCACACTCTGAATATTCAATGAGTCCACCGTCCATGCTTTTATCGTTGCTGTGATACTCAGTGGAAAGACATACAGTAGTTGTTATTTGCACATGCTGTGAGAAAACAGTTTTTTTGTTTTACAAATGCAGTTTGAGCTTCAAATAACATCTCACCGCTCAGCAGCAGATGTCTGTGGAGGCCTCAGGTCAGATGCCCGGGGTAGTAAGTAATCCGACTGTAGGCTTATAAATGTTGGTGAGAACAGTAGCTGGTAGTACCTGGAACTGTTTATAACCCTGAGGTGATCAGACTTGTTCTGCTGCTGTCTGTGGAACCGACTTCTCTTGGTGACTCAAATGTCATTAACTCAGAATAACCAACAGTGCTGTGACATTTTATTCTGTCACCATGTTTTTATCTCCTTTATTTTGATTGGTTTATTGGTTTAGTACAACACATCAAAATTGTTCAAAGAAACTGACTCTCACTATTCTACTTTTAGTAAATTATCTTAGCAGAACAATTTTCCGACTGTTGTTTCCAACTGTTTATACGTATTTTAGTGGACATTTGAAGACATGTCTCCATCACATGGACTGAAGCTTTGACACTGTTTTAATCCATCGGATCCACAGGGAACTATATTAATTATATATTAAATATTCTTTTTAAAAGGTAGAAATTTAACTTTTCAGGCTGAAAATGTCCCCAAAGAAAAGACCACACAGTAGATTTCCAAGTAAATCTATATGGTCAATGTAGAAAATCTAAGCTTTTTTTTACATACATTTATGAACATAGAAGACAATGGAAAAATAATACTACAAATTATTAAAATTACATTTTAATAATTAATAAATTTAAATGTATTGTTCATTTAAATTATTTAATTTTGGCCAATTGTTACATTATATTTTCACTTTGTCTCACTTTTCCATTCTGTAGTGATTATGTCTATATTTGTAACCACTGTGTGTGGGCTGTTGTCTCAAGTGTGTTTATGTAAACTAAATCCTCGGGGTGGGATAAAGTTGGGAGGCGGGGCCTACTTGGCCCAGGGCGCCTTATAGGCTATGGCCGCCCCTGCTCTTGAAACAGCAGAAATTCTTAAACAAATCGGGTAAGAAACAATGATTTGCTAAAAAGTCTGCAGGAATCTCTGTCGGACACAGGAAGGCGCTATTTCCCCTTCAAAGGTCTCCTTGGATCTTTTTGAGAAACTTATTTATAAGCGCAGGTCGCACCGAGAAGCGGTGCAGGGCGCAAAGTTTGCGCGCAGTGCATTCTTATTTTATTTGTTTATTCGTGATTTAATTTTTTTTATTTATTTTAGATTTAATTGATAAGTAAGTGTTAAACAATGTTGCGTCCGGCAGCCGCGGCTCCATCCTGGCCTTTCCATTACGCACGGAGAGCATGCCTCCAGGACGAGTCCCTGTGGCACAAACGGAGCGGCGCGCACGAATCCTCGGTCGGTCGTGAGGACGGCGCTGAAACACGAGCTGCCAGTGAATTTATCACTTTATAAAAAGCTGCTCCTTGGATGTTAGTGGCGCTCGAAGTCTTTTACTATTATTAACCCTGTTCGTTCGTGATGCTGCTGCTTCACACACCGGGAAGTTTGGACACTTAGCACATCGTTGCTTTTTTTAAAAACAATTTTTCCTCTGTCTGGGTTTTTTTTTAAATTCTTTTTTAATCTGATCCCCCAGCAGATGCCAGCCATGACTGCCGCTGCGTCCTGAGCGGAGATGGAATCCGAGGTGACGGCCAGGAACCGCTCCTGCTGTTTGCCCAGGAATGAGAGCGACGGCGGACTGAGCGAGTCCCACTCCGGGTCAGTGCCCTCTGCGCTGGCCAGCGTGCTGATCTTCACCATCGTGGTGGACATCCTGGGCAACGTCCTCGTCATCCTGTCGGTGTACAGAAACAAAAAGCTGAGAAACGCAGGTAAGGTCAGATTTTATTTTATTTTTTTAAGGGTCAAAGCAGGTACCCATCACCAATGGTAACTGGGCAGTTGTGGACTCGAACCTCAAACCCAAGTCGGCTTCCTAAACACCATGCCACCACTGCCCCAGGTTTACGTGGCACAGTGAGAATGGCATCAAATTAGGTCATATTTGAACGACTTGTATTAAAATATGCATTTTTATTTAAAAATATGTACAGTATTTATTCATTATAAATATTTTTATAATAATTTTATGAATGTGCGGCGTGTCCTGCTCTATTGTGTCCTGCTCCATCGTGTCCACCCAAGTCATTTTAACCTTTGTAGAAAGGACTGATGTTGAGCCCCCTCTTCCCCCTCCCTCTCCCCCAAGTATCGGTTCGCACGTCTGCCTCAGAAGCAGAGAGCAGAGAGTCATGGGTTCAATTCCCAGAGGAACCACAAGCAGGAACCCCACGCTTGATTGATAGTCCTCCACTTTTAAGTCACTTTGGATAAAAGCCTCTGCTAAGTTCATAAATGTAAAATTAATTAGTTTGTGATCCCCTCAATACAGCTTCTTGTCCTCTGAAAAGGGCCCGCCCCTCAAGTTTGAAACCTATTGTTTCACCCTGAGAGGTTCAGAAGTAGGCAACTGGATTGATGCAACTCCTGGACTGAGTGCACCCTCTTCTGTTTAGTGACCTCTGCTGGAATATTCTGGTATTTTTAATTACTAATCTGAATTACTAACCTAATTAGCGTGTACACGCTACTCCATAAATAATATCACCTCCCGCACGATATCATCATCACAGATATATCACCTGACCCCCGCCCCGTCACCCTCCTATATCAGGACCCACTCTTTATCTTATACCATGAGCTGCTGAGGTGATTCTGTCTGTGGGCTCAGGTCGGTCACTTCCTCCTACACAAGTTTTAAAGTCTTTTTACTGCAGCATTGATGGCATTTTCCTTTTACACTTTATTTTTCAGAAGTTAAACTTTTTAATAGTTACGTAAAGTTTCTACAAGTGCTCTTTGAATTGTGTTCTGTTTTAGCTTTAAGTCTTTCATTTTTGTGACCTTTTTACTTAGGGATTTAGGACGTATGCACAGTGGTGGAGTGGTTAGTGCGCTTGCCTTACAGCATTGTATGCACAGTGGTGGAGTGGTTAGTGTGCTTGCCTTACAGCAAGAACATCACTGGTTTGATTCCCTGGTACACGATCTACTGGTGTGTATGGACTAAACACATTCAGGATTAGGTGAATTATTCTCTCTTAAGTGACCATAAGTAGTTAGACTAGGGGTTCCCAACCATTGGACCAGGGACCAGTACTGGGCTGTGGATTTGGCAGTGTGTAGCACAGAAAAATAGGATTTTTAAAAAAAAAAAAATTCTGTGAAGTTGTGTAAAAGGATCCCGACCCTGCAGGGTAAAGGATTAAAAAATAAAGAGCAGATTGCATATCTTATTAATTCTGTCTCATGACTCACAAAAAGTACTGTGAAAACCAATAAACTTAGGTCGGTTTATGATTATGACTCTTCAGGGGACCAGGCAACACGAAGATCCAGTAAACTGGGTTAAATTGGCTGTTAGTGGAATAATCGAACTGATGAATGGATCGATGAATGGATCGATGAATGGATGAATGAATGAATACTGAGCATTGATGTGATATCAGAAAGTCCTGGGCAGATTGAAGGTGAAATAATCAGGTATGATTAACCTCACATGTGAAAAGACGGTACTAATGAGAATTTGTCGGTCTTCAGATTCTGCCGGCGAAGGATTTTTATATAACATGTCAAATGTGCTCCTGTGAACCCGAGCCAAAAGCAGCTTGGTCAGACGTTTGGGAGCCAGTAGAGGAGTTCAATTATTTGTTTTGCAGATATAACACAGTTCACTGGTTTCAAACAAGAGGCGAGGAATAAATGGCCTGTTCAGAAGTCTCTCTCAGGCTGGCAGACTTTAATTGCCACACTCATGTCACTGTTCTCCCTCCTTAATTGGACCGACTGTTAGGTCCAGTCACACGAGAGTCTCGTTGTGTCCTGTTGATCAGGAGAATGGTGAAAGCTCAGAGCCACTTCTTTTATCTAGTTTCTAATCTCAAATGTCCTTAAGGAACGCCGTTGTTAGCGGCTCTTAGCCCGTTAACAAGCTGCTCTCTGTTCTCAACGTGCCAGTAAAGGTTCAGTTTGCTTTGAATGACTTCTCAGTTATACAATGTTTCTAAAAGAAAAATAGTTGCAAAAAAAAACCTGGCGGCAGTGAAAGACGCGTTCTCTGACGGACGGCTGTTTTGTGGAAGGCTGACAGGTGTAGATTATTACAACGGCATCTTGTGGCACCTGGCAGAAGCTGTGATTTATGGCCTACAGCAGGTAAAGACGGAGAGTGTAGCTGGGAGAGAATTCCATCGACTGTTTTTGCCGCACAAACGTGTAACGGACCGTTTTCCCGCTCGCTCACCGAAGGAAGAGTTTTCTGCTCTGCTTCACCTCATGTGTTCCAGGTTTCCTCCAGTTTGTGAAACTCGAGCGTGCCACTCATTGTCTGCCAGTGGTGTGTTAGCGCTCTCCACAGGGGTTAACCATGCTAAGAATACACTCACATGATGCACTCATGAGAGGAGGTGAGGGATAGAGATGGGGGAGAGTGGAATAAAAGCACGACAGCAAGAGAAAGGCAATGTTTGATTGTACTTTTGCATGTGTGCAACCAAATGGTGTTGGGAGCCGTGGGTTGAGAATGTTTTATGTGTGAACATTTTTATGCTCGATATGGATTTTTAAACTAATATGACACCTGATAATGAGCTGATCCCATTGGCTGATACCAGTACTAATATAATATCATATTTTCTATTTAAGATACAATTAAAAATATGACCATATATGTCAAAGGTAGAATACGAAGTTGTCGTTCTGCAGACCAGGTGACGACGGTTGTTGTTGTCCAAGAAAAGAACATGAAGTAGAATAAAAGACGAAGAAGCTAATGCTAGGTAAATGTCAAAAGTCACGAAAAACTCGCTGTCAAGTCATCAGCAATAATGCTGCTCAAACATTTACTCATCCAGGATAATAAGCCTGATGACAGCGAAGACGAGATCTAATTCCGTGCATTTGTTCTTTGACGTTGACAGTCGACTGAAAGCACAGCCAGACCACCTGCACGTTATTTTTTTGAATTCATATTTCCTCCAAAGGTGTATAAATATAGCATCTTATTGAAGCACAGTATATCACGTTTTTCTGTACAAGCAGCGGAGGAGAGATGATGGATGTGATGGAGAAACACAGGCCCTTGAGATTCAGACTAAAAATTCACCCAGCTGCCAAATCTCTAGCACATACTTCTTAATTCTGCACCTGTTCACGCTCCTGAGTGATTTTTATTCACTTCTGATATTATTGTTTCTCATATTCTAATGAAGAGGGATGCCAAAAAAAGGCTACATCACCAGACTGGATGGTGACTCAGATCTGACTGTCATGGCTTTGGAAAGATACAGAAACTTTACAGGGTGTAGGAGAAGCCTGTACTGCATGGTGTTCAATAATACAACAGCATTGGAATCTTCCTGCTTTAGTCTCTGCCACTGTGTGACTTGCTGTCATTCAGTGATCTGTTGATATTTTATATATATTTTATAAACAGTAGAAGTCCGGTACAAAGTCCAACATCTTCACATATGAATTTGAAAAAGGATTTCTGGATTCACATTTGTCATTTTGTCATCTGAGTCAAACGATTAAAGTTGGATGAGCAGATTAAATTTAGACCGCTCCATAGACAACTTCCTGGGTCCCTTCGGTGCAGGGATTATGAGGTGGATTTGAAACCTGATGACTGAGGTTCAACACATGTCTGAACCCCCCCACAGAAGCCCCAGCCCCCTCTGTTGTCTCACCTGTTCTCTGATGGGCCTCAGCTCAAATCATCTCTAGAGAGATACATATGTTACGTTATGTTATTATGGTCTGGCACTGAACACGAGCCTTCATGGACTTTTTCCAGAAGGTTCTTTATGTTCAGTTGTACTGTAACAACAGTGGTGGTGGTTGGAGAAAAAAACCCTGTGGATATCTGCAGGCTGTTATTGAACAGATTTAATCAACATGATGGAAAATCATTGGGTTTTTTTACTGCTAAAAAGCTTTATTGGCTGCAAAGACAAGATGAACTCAAAACATGAAAGGTACAAACACTGTTTTGTGGTCACTTCACACAGACATAACACATTCTCTAGTGCCTTTATCTAAATATCCTAATCTTTACCATTACTTTGTCAAATGTGTCAAATTATCTTTGAAAGTCTAGGATTATTTTTTTGTATATTTTACTTCAATGATTTTACCCAGAATTCTACACCCGAGCCAATACTGCACAGGTCCGCCAGTCAAATTTTGAGCCCAGTTTTGACCCACAAACTAACTAACTCTAACTCATTCTAACTCCTCAAAAGTGCCCCCACTAAAATTGTTTCCAAAAAATGTCCCCAAAAGTGTAGCTATACCAGAAGCACACACACTTGAAATGGACCAAATATTGTTTTCCCAAAACGTATCTGAAGCTAATGCATCTTTTGTGAAAAACAATGCCGTCATTACAAAACCCAGTGACCTGCAAAATGTCGTCAAAGGACAGTGTCCCTCATTACAAAAGAGTGTTTTTCCAAAACATTGTCCTCACAAGACGCTATAGCAGACACACACACACACTCACACACATTGCTATAGCAGACACACACTCACACACATATCTTTCTGTTTTCTGAACATCGTAAAATAAACATAATAGAGTCACCAGCCCCTTAAACGTTACAAATAAATCTTGTCCTTTAAATGACGTCCCCCTCAGTGGGGACCTGTGCAACGTCCACACAAGGACAACATGTCCCCACAACAACAGCTTCCCAACAAATGTCCCCAAAAGTATAGCTCTACCAGTAACACACACACACTTGTAACAGACTTATTATTGTTTTCTTTAAACTCATCCGAAGCTAATGTATCTTTAGCGAACATCCAATCAAACGTCATTACAGACCCACTCTGTGTTTTTATCTCCTTTGTTATCTGACAGCAGCGTTTAAAATCAATTTATTGTTTTATTCTCCCCCGCCTCACCCCCTCTCACCCACTCACAGCAGCTGCAATGTAACAATATCAGACGTCAGTCTCAATGATTCACGTTCTTTGAGTTAAACCGGTGTCGCACCACCGGGGGGCTTATAAGACCCCAGCAGGACAGGAAGTTGCTGCGATGTAATCTGACGACTACAGTTAACCACGTCCTGTTTGTCTGTGTCCTGTCAGTCGTCAGGGGAAACTGAAATGTTGAAATAAGAAGCGTTTGTGTTGCATGTTGTTGTTTACTTGGCATTGACTGTGTCAAATATTGAACCAGTTGTTATGGTGTTACGCTGCTCTCTGGTTCACTTTTACAGTACGACGATATAGAACTCAAAATCGTCACATGATCCTGGTTCAGGACAAATGTCTCGTAATTTTGTACTTTAATTTTAATCTCTTTTAGGATTAACATACAGGGTATTAATGAGTATTTCGTAAAAACAAATTATACTTGACGTCCTCCAAGGCTAACCCTTTGACTTAGACCTTTTCGATAAACGCTTTCGATAAAGACTCTTTCTGGGGCTGGAACCACTATTTGGAAAACACAGAGGAATATTTGTGACGAAATATAAAAGTTAGAAAAAGGTTGTTTAAAGCCTTAGATTAAGGAGAAAAGTTGGATGTGTCGCAGGAAAAATTCAAAATGAGCCAGAATCAAGATGAGTGTTAGGACTTGTTCCACCAAACACAGGAGTGGACCAGAGAGCAGCAGGTAAGGCAGAACAATGGTTTATTGTTGTTTACAGTTCCAAATGGTTATGGTAATTATGCAGTGACGGTAGAAAAGAGGAACCGATCCAAAGGCTGAGCTACAGTTGGGTGTTGGCAGAAGCAGCGCAAAATAAAAAAACCCAAACCAAAACAAAATCCAAAAATCTCAGACGTGGCTGTGCTAAGACACACACAAACACACACTTAATATCAACAAAACAATAAACAAACTGAACCTTTACACTGAGTTCACGATAAAACCCTGTTAACACCGGGGGCAGTGATGTGATGGAATTTACCGACACAGTTGTCTGTATATGTTGTTCCATGTGACTAAACTCTTATCTCTTCCTCCTTCAAGGCAACATCTTCGTGGTGAGTCTGTCCATAGCAGACCTGGTGGTGGCGTTGTACCCCTACCCTTTGGTCCTGACGGCCATCTTCCATAATGCCTGGATCATGGGCGACCTCCACTGCCAGGCCAGCGGCTTCGTCATGGGCCTGAGCGTGATCGGCTCCATCTTCAACATCACCGCCATCGCCATCAACCGCTACTGCTACATCTGCCACAGCCTCCACTACGACCGTCTCTACAGCCTGAGGAACACCTGCTGCTACCTGGGCCTCACCTGGCTGCTCACCGCCCTCGCCACCGTGCCCAACTTTTTCGTGGGCTCGCTGCAGTACGATCCCCGCATCTACTCCTGCACCTTTGCCCAGACAGTCAGCTCCTACTACACCATCTCGGTGGTGATTTTCCACTTCCTCATCCCCCTGCTGGTGGTGTCTTACTGCTACATGAGGATATGGGTGCTGGTGATTCAAGTCAAACACAGAGTCAAACCCGAGTACAGGACCAAACTGAAACCGAGTGACGTGAGGAACTTCCTGACCATGTTCATGGTGTTTGTGTTGTTTGCAGTGTGCTGGGCGCCACTCAACCTCATAGGACTGGCCGTGGCCATAAATCCCGCCAAGGTGGCGCCGAACATTCCCGAGTGGCTTTTTGTCAGTAGCTATTTCATGGCATATTTTAATAGTTGCCTCAACGCCATCATATATGGACTCCTCAACCAAAACTTTCGCAAGGAGTACAAAACAATCCTCCTCGCCCTCTGCGTCCCACGTCTGTTCCTCATGGACACCTCCAGGTGCGTCACAGAGGGCCTGAAGAGCAAGCCCTCACCGGCTGCAACCAACAACAACTTGGTGGCGGAGATGACCGTGTGACTTTCAGCTGGAAGCTGAAGATTCACATTGTGTAAAGTTTCATGTTGGACGTGGGCCATGATTCCAAAAGTGCCTTCTTACATGGTGTGTGTCATGTGGAGAGACGTGGGGGAGAAACCCGGGCTTCACCCGGCTCTTATCATAATGCTCATATTGAAAGAACAACATCGGTGGTACAATCTGCTCCTTTGTGACAGCATCCCTGTCCTCCATCTGATCCTGGATCTGGTTAAACAAATAAGCCTTAAAACATTTTGGACCATCAGCTGTTTGACCGGTTTCTTTAAAGTCCTTTAGTGTCAGCACACGGCACGTTGACTATTGGGAGGTGAGATTGTAATTCCCGATCTGACGTGTGTACTTCAAATGCTTATTTGCACTGTGTGACCATTACAGGACTCATACATTAATTAAAAATTAAATATTAAAAAATAAAAAATAAATAAAAAAAACTTTGTTGACCTTTATTTGAACTGCACTTAGGCTATATTGACATATATAATTACTTCAACCTGAGTAAATATTTAACTTCTATTTCTGTGTTAGCGTTTCTATCGTTCTACTCAAACAGTGACCTGTTGTTCCATCCACGTGTTCAGGCTTTTCAACCATCAAAAACAATTTTGGGAACCAGTTAAACTTATTGACACCCTCCTCCCCCCTCCCCTGTGTGTGTGTGTGTGTGTGTGTGTTCACCAATACAAAGTAACATTTCTCCCTAAGGCTGGTCTTTATGAGTACTCTGTACTTATAAGAGTACACACTACACACTATGTAGACTCTACATTTTAAGAACCTTAAAATCCTTAGAGTCATTTTCTTCTTACTCTTTTGTTAAACCGAACATTTTATATAAGAATGCATCTTTTCATCAAACTAAAATTTCGAAACATCTATCAGTGTTTTCTCCGAAAGTATTGGAACTTGAAGGATTTAGGAATTTGAGATTTTTTTTTGAAGAGTTCAGCGTACATTCAATTCCTTCTCTGACGTTCAATTGATTTTTTTGCTGAGTCATGGGTCAGCCAGGTGACAGCCATTTATACAGCAGCAAAAATGAAGAAAAAAAATCACTCCATTCTCCTGCCAGTCCTGCAGGTCAGTGACGGTGAGGCTCATCTTTCTTCTCCCTTCTCTTCTCCTGGATGAACATTAAACTCTCAATTTCTCAGTGTACTACTGTAAAAAAAAGATTTTAGTTGTCTATGTAAGATTTTTTTTACCTAACATCAAATCAGTAACCTATTTGTCTTTTATTGTAGAGAATATACGATTCAATCGGAGAGAGGACAAGACACGTTCATGTTGGTGAGTAATAATTACTCCTTTTTACTCTTTATTCCTATTTCTAAGTGTGGATGAGAGCACGGGAGGTCACAGAGACACAAACTCTCCTTGGTGGCTGATAAAGATCAAATCCACAACATTGAAACTCACTGTCACAACTGGGATTTGACCCAAACCAAACAGGACGTTAGAAGTTATAAAGCACAAAACACCATCATGTGACGATTGTTGTCTGCCGTCGAGACAAAAACCAGATGTGGCCCTCCTCTGTGCACGGAGGAATTTCTACAGTCCTTACACATCATTGCGTTCTGCAGCAGCGGGGTCTCACTGTGGGTCTGCTGCCACAAAGGCATGTCTCCTAATGGATTCGTGCTCTCCCTGTGTTCTCATGCATATGACGAATTCCTGCCTGTCCTGACGAGCCCTGGGTCACAGGGGGTTGTGGGTCTAAAATGAGCGAGAGTGGAACATTTGAGGCAGTTAATTTTCATTCATAATTATTTATTGTCTGGTTTCTTCACTGATATCATACAAACACTCGGGAGTATTGAATTAATCTTTTTATTTTATTTTTTTTAAAGTATGTGTTTATTCCTACGTGATGAAATTATTATTGTTTTTTTTACAGCAGCATTAAACACTGACGTTTACAGCATTCTCAGTAAATCTGCAGAAAGACTTCATTACAGGACATTGTTAAAGAATTAGAGTTTGTGTCGTGTTTTATCAGATAAATGCTAACAGAAAAAGAACGAAAGTTTTTTTATGCACAAATTTGCAGATTGTAGATTCAATTTAATTTGCTAACGTATTAAACTTTGTTTGAGAATATTTGTTTCTTGATGTCATTGGAGAAGTAAGGGATGACAGAAAACTGAAGATCTTCTGATGGAAATGCAGTATTTTAGGGAGTTTTAGTTTTAAAACCTAAAATAACAAAATACCTTTTAGAACTGTACTCTAAAATACAGTCTAGTAGTGAAGGACAAATACTTCCATGTCCTCATACTACAGTATGTCCACTAGCCCATACGTTTTGATGTTGGCAGACAGCAGTCATATCAGTCACACAGGCTCCACTAATAATAGCATGTAACTTTGTGAAGTGCCTCATTCTTTCTCTTACATCACATGGAAACGTCATTACGGTCTGTCTCTGCCTATTAGGACACTATATATATTTTCCAGGGGACGGCGTCTCATGGTCAAAACAACAGGTGTGACAGGGATCGTACTGTATGTGACATGTCGAATGCAGGAGCCATTGTTGGAAAAGTCCAGAGGTAAAGTTAAAAGTATCAAATGTCAGAGGTCAGAATCAAACATAGAATAACAAACTACAAAAGCTCTTCCAGACATGTGCACAATAATTTGACAATGTGGAAATTTATATATATATACATATATAAATGTGGTATCCAGAATTTGATGGGATTTAGTGTGTAGAAGTATCCGTACATTTGCAAAGAAAATTACAAAAAAAAAAAAAAAAGTTTTTCGTATTTAAAAAAAGAACCTGTTCTTTGTTGGGTGGAAAACAATTCAGCCCACACTGATTCACAGACGGTGACATGTTTCTAATGCCAGAAAAAAAGAGAAATATTCTGAACACACTTTCTGACTGTTCTTAGTGAAATTGTTTGGTAACCTTTGAATGTTCTTTTCCAAAATGATTTGCATTATAGGAACCTGCTGGGAAAGAGAACAGCGCGATCAGGGTCACATGGGGCAGAGACACTCAAGCACAGAGACCTTAAAACTGCACGAGTGCATCGACACTAACTGCTTAAGGTTAGCATGAAATGTGACTGTCAGTCTGTTACATCAGCAATTGAAAGAGGCGCAGTTCTCCATTATTAAAGAAAGTAGGGGGAACGAGGGCACACGCTGTGCAAGAACATGGTGCAAATACAGCCGTATTCCTCCAACAAATGATTCAATTTAGGTCTTTCATGTTGTTCTCTTTGAAAGTTTTTAGATAATGGTTGAGAAATGTCCCTCAGAACTACAGGTGGAGTTCCTAATAACTACAGTATAATTGATTAATCTACTCAGGCATTTTAGAATATAAATAATAGTAACAAGAATTGGTTAGACCTATCTAGAAGTAGCTTGACAGTAGCAGTAGACTGGCAATGAAACACAGTGGGCTGACTGCACCAGGTTGCACAAAGAAGTCCATTTAAAAAAAAGTTGATGGGAAAAATGTGTGCAATTGTAATGCTTTTGATTTATAAGGTCAAAAACATAATTTTCCGAGGAGTTCAATGTCTCAATTGGTTCTTTGTGAAGTTGTGTAATGCAGAAGTTTTTGAGTTTTTGAAAAGTGTTTTAAACACAGGGATCATTTTCAGTTTATTTGGTTAAAATCAGGAAAATGGCTGCTATTTAATGTCTGAGACTAAACTTTTGTATATTGTATGTTATCGTTGGTGGAATACACCGGGGAAAAAAAAGGTTATTTTTAAAAAAAATATATAAAAATATAATATTATTACAAATGACACCTAAAATTATTTCTAATATGTATTTATAAAAATCGATCCTTGTATTGTCTTATTGATAATGTTTTTGAATCGGAACCAGACTGATACTTCTGGATTCGTGGACGCACAGAACGTGACGTAATGGTCACATGACGGTCCCGTGACCAGAAGCGGAAACGCTCAGCACAGTGAGAGGACAACGTCGTAACAGCTAACACAAGCAAACCCAAAGCATCCCCGTTTCTGGATTTATATCTGCGTTAAGCCTTATTTCAACAAAAATAAATAAAATAAAAAATGGACGGATCTTCCAGAGCATCCCCAGACGTCGATGCTGGTCCACCGCCCTATATGAGAGGGTAAGAAAGCCTGTCGTTGTTTCAAAGAGCTGTTAGCATTAGCTTAGCATACGACCGTAGAGTAGGTACGTATTATTCGTTCTTTGTTTTTGTGGTAAATATTTGTTATTATATGGTAGAAACGCAGAAAAGCAAGGGAACTGGGTGATATGTGTTATAAGAGTATCTGGTTTTAAAAATAAACAAAAGATATCCACTTGTGGATATATATTTTCAAGTTATATAAGTGATGTGGACATAGGCTTTTAAACACACGAATCTATTTAATCATATAAAAATATCTCCACTTGTGGATATATATTTTCAAGTTGTGTCAGTTAATTTTTATTAAACTTGGGCTCCCTATACTGCAAAAAAGTAATAGGCACTTTGGCAAAGGTACTTTTTTATATATATAAAGCTTCTTTACTTTTCGGCTTGTCCCTTTTTCAGGGATTGCCACAGCGAATCATTGTTTTCCATCGCTCCCTGCTTTCTGTATCTTATACTTTTTTAGATATATATTTTATATTTGCTGTATGTTTTATGTGTGCGTGTGCTTGTTTCTCAGCAGTTCTGCTTCCTTTTTGTCTGTCGCTGTGTGAAACCAATCCTGTAGTGTAACAGAATATTTTTTGTCTTACTAATGTATTTTTTGTCTTACTAATGTAAGAAGAAACTAGCAACATTTCAGATCAGAACAACAAGTTTAAGTTTAAGTCAATTACCTGTCGTAATCACTGGGAACATAGTATTTACGGCTGTGTGATGTCCCCACATTCAAGGTCATCAAAACAGAGTCTTGTTTTCTTGCAACAATGTGCGTGTGTAGGTTAAACTTGTCTGACCCGTGCACTTGTAAATCTTTTTTTCAGAAATGAAAGTTCCCTGGTTTCGGCTCTCAAGACACTGCTGTTCTTCACCATCCTTATGGTTACGTTACCCATCGGACTCTACTTTGCATCAAAGGCCTACATCTTTGAAGGTGAGTTTGAGGAATATGTCTGTAGAGAATAGAATAGACTAGATTATATTTAATCTGATGATGTCAAAAATGTTAATTCCATTTGGAAATTATTCTCATATTTTTGAGCATAGTCATGCATTTCTCCATTCATCAGAAAAAAAACATTTTTCATCTTCCAATTACAAAAATGCATAGAAATGCAGTAAGAGCAGTGGTCGCTTGGTGGTTAAGGAAGTGGACTTAGGTCCAGAAGGTTTAAGGTTCAATTCCACCCTGCTCACCTGAGTGATGGGTTAAAAACATTTCACATTTCGTGGTGTGCAGTATCACAATGACAAATAATTATCTTTATTTGCCTTAAAATGTGATTTTTTTATGCTTGAAAATTGATACATTACCCATTGATCAAAAGTAAAATACTATGCTAATAATTTCCCAAATAGGTCTATAATAAGTTAAAGTTTACCAATAATGAATAAAAACACTAGTTTTCAGAAAAACAATTTTATTTTTAATTTCAAGGCTTTTCAGTATTTTGGGATGATTGTATTTTCTGAGTATAATAAATTGATTTGATTAAAAAAAACACAATTAAACAAGAATTTTCACTTTAATGTCAACAGTACAATCAGTTCACTTTTGTGTTCTTTTGCCATTCGTCCTTGGTTATTTCTGTGATTTGAAGAGATTTAAAAAGTTTTTGGCTCCACTTGATAATTAGGCATCATATCCCCTGGCTGTGAATTGACTGCTCACCCCAACTTCTGTTCCCTGTCTCCTGTCTTAGGGACGATGAAGATGTCCAGCTCTGACAGCTACTTCTATGCAGCCATTGTCGCTGTGCTGGCGGTGCATGTGGTTTTGGCCTTGTTTGTGTACGTGGCCTGGAACGAAGGTGTGCCTAAAGGAAAGGGCAAACATGATTAAAACTAGGTTTACAAAACCAATAAGGTAGGTAGAGATGAGGTTGTGAAGGGGAAGCCACGTTTTTCTCTACACTGAACGTTGAAGCACTGGTGATGACAACAGCTACAAACCTGAAAGAGAATCTTAAACTTGAGATTAAAGTACATACATATGTACAATAGGAAAGAATGCTGTTTGTTGTGATTCATATTTTTCACCTCAGCAGATCTGCTTTTGACTTTTAGTTAAATGAAAATGTTACTATTTGGGGAAAGGACAGTCTTATTTTAAAATAAGCTGCCCATTGACTAAAGTGCTCTCACGAGTATGTGAAATGACACATTTTGGAATTCTTTGTATTGTGTCAAGTATGATTAATTTGATTGAAGTTGTTTCCTTTGAAACCTCGTTTTCTGTACTGAAATCTAAAAATATGTGATGTAGATACTGTTTAAGTCCCTATCAGGGATGCAAAAATATGGAATAAAAGTTTATTTGTAATAAAACATTTATTTTTGTATTATGTGATGTGAAGTACAAAGTATGATATATGAGTACTTTAATCTCAAAAGCAGTAATAAAGTAGGCAACTGGACTCACCTCAAGTAAGTTGAAAACATTTCGCCTCACATCCCAGAGGCTTCATCAGTTCTATTGTCCTGGTGGGGAGTTTCCAGGTATTTATCCACCCCAAAGGGGAGTGTGGGGACAAGAAAAGTGGTCATTGTCCCGAACTATATGACCGTTGAGTGGTCATATGAGTCCTTGACCCCATGGTGGATCGTTCCCCTCTTCTGTCATCTGGGTGGGGGTCGTTGGCGTTACCTGAATGGAGGTGTGAATTACGCCTGCACTTCCTGAGGAGAGAACCAAGAACAGCATTGTTGGTGGGTGATTGTTGGTGTCTGAGGCGCCCTCCTCTGATCAAAGATGGTCTGGTGTATGCAGTGCAATGAGCAATCTGACCTGTACATTGGGGAAACGATGCAGCACACAAACGTATGGCTCATCACAGGAGGACCACAAAATCAGGCCAGAACTCAGCAGTCCACCTCCACCTGAAGGAGAAAGGGCATTCATTTGATGATCAAAAGGTGCACATTCTAGCCAGAGAGGACAGATGCTTAGGGCGAGGGGTGAAGAAAGCCATCCATGTCAAACAGGAAAGACCATCTCTGAACAGAGGAGGGTGCCTCAGACACCACTTATCACCCACCTTCATTGCAGGCCAACTTTACTTGTCCCCACACTCCCTTTGAGGTGGATAAATACCTGGAAACTCCCCACCAGGACAATAGAACTGATGAAACCTCTTGGATGTGATGTGAAATGTCTTTAACTTATCTGAAGTGAGTCCAGTTGAGTATAAAAAATATAAACTTTATTTACAATGTGCAAAAACGAATTATAACTAACTAAAAATAAAACTTTCCCCAAAATAAATAAAGCAAACAATTAGCCATCTAATGTATTTATGTCCATTTTCATGCTTTAAATTCAGAAAAAAAAACATTTTTGGTACATCACCCACTGATCAAAATTAAAATACTAAGCTAATACTTTCCCAAGAAGTCTTCAAAAATGAATGAAAATGCATTTCTCCTTTAAATGTATTTGTTGTGCACATCATGTTGGTCAGATTTTAATTTTTTTTTTAATTTTCTTTTAAATTTTTGTAGTGAAAAATTATGATGAAAATTTTAGGGAAAAAAAATCAAAATGTTATCTTTGTAGTTTGTTTCTCATCTGATTAGAGCATGATGAGAAGTGTTCAAGACTTTTTGGGGGAAAAAAAATCAAAATTTTATCTCCTCGACATGTTCCTCATCTAATTAGAGCATTTTTAGAATATTTCTTAATTTGGAACTTTTCAGGAAAATCCTAATTTTGCATATGGGTTAGGGTTGTCCAGATGTTGGATAATTATGATGAACTGTATTGGGAAAAAAACATATAATAATGTGCTCTGACCACATTAAAAAAAAAAGCTCTAAAGAGGAAAATGCCGAAAAAATACATTTTTGAACTATTTTTCCAAAAATTTTCATAAAAGATTTTCACCATCTTACTCCAACACATGAAATTGGGATTTCACCAAGAATTTTCCCAAAAGATTCATAATTTTTTTACTATCTGACCAATGTGACATGCAAAATTAGTATTTTACTAAACAATTTCAAAAAAACTTTTTTTTTGATAATTCTGTAATTTTATGAGGAACATGTAGAAGAGATACAATTTTGATTTTTTTCCTCAAGATTTCCATTAAAATGTTTAACCATTTGACCATAATACATGGGAAATTAGGATTTTACCAAAGTATTTCAAAAAAAGCTATTTTTTCTAAAACAATTCTCGTGATGCTCTAATTTGATGAGAAACATGCAGAAGAATTTTGTTCTTGCAAAAATTTTCTAAATTTTCTAAAAAATTTTCAAAATCTGACCAAAATGTTTTTCTAAACATTTAAAAAACTAAAAACTTTTGGTGATTTTTAAAATATTCATTTAAAATATTTTTGGAATTTTTAACACAAAATATTCACTTTTTGGTCAAAAACTAAATAAAAAACTAAAAATATTGTAAAATATATTTTTTTAATTTCATCTTTTCCTACATGTTTTTCTTAAAATTAGGGCATTTAAAGAACATCAAGATTTTGACGAAATTTTGTGTACTTTTTAAAAAATTTTTCACGATGGTAAGGCATGTTT